TATTCCATAAGGAACAGATATTCTTGTTACTAGTAAAAATATTTAATGGTTTATCAAAAATACTAAAATTTTCAATTGCCATGATTAAAGCATAAATTTGTGATTCTTGAATAGAACAATTTTCATTCACAATTTTGAAAATACTTTTATCTGGATATGAAGGACAATAAATTCCAATTCCAAATATCTCGTCTTTTTTTCGAATTTTTGTAAATATGCAAATACCATCATCATTTGTTGAATCATCTAAATAAAGAAATGAGGCATCACATTTTATGTGCCGGTTCCCATATGTAAGAGTTAATATTTATCATTAACAATAAAAAATATTGAATAATAAAATCACTCTTACCACAAATCACGAGATTCTTTCGTGAAAAACATCTTTTTCCTTCCTTCAGTTTAACATTGCTGGCACCGATAAGAAATTCTGTTAAGGCAACACCATTCTCATTTACTACAATCTCATTCGTGAGATACCACTTATGTTTCTTGATCAAATTTCGATCATCTTCATCAACGGTAATATAATAATTTGTCAGTTTATCATGTTTATCAAATAATGCGATTTGATATAGGTTGCTAACATAACCAAAAAGACTAGTTGTTACGGGTCTTTCAGGATTTGTGTTAGAATCGTTATACCAGATTCCATTCATCTTATCTTAATATTTCTAAATGAAATTAAACTTGTTATAAATATATTTTGAATTATTAATGGATAACAAATATCTAAATACATTCATTAAACTAAATCAACAAATCCAAAAATTGGGAAAAACGTCAATACAAAGCATGGGAGCGATAGCGACCAAATGCTGCGTATACGATAGCGTTTCCCAATTTTTACGCAGACCACTCTGCTAAAGAAATAGGCGGAACATAAAAGTGTTCGGTTTTCCATTTTAAACAACGTTTAATACTACGTATCAAACATCGTTTAAATCTAAAACAACAAAAATTACTCATAAATTTTTAATTTAATAAATTTTATTAATAATTATAAAAAAAAATAATGCAAATTAATTAAAATATTGAATTAAAATATAATATTGAATTTTCAGATAAAAATATATGTTATGTTAATTATTATTTCAAGTAATAAAAAATTTATTAATTTTAGATGATTAATAATTTGCTAATTTTAAAAATGTTTCCCTATCAAGTGTTTTATATGGTATATCATCTCTTAACGATTCTGGAATTTTTAATTCTTGATATTTACTTTCTTCGATAATTTGACTCCATCGTTTATTCACCTTTTTAAAAATATCCCTTTCTTTATTTTTAATTGTCTCAGATATATGTGATAAATTTAAATATATATTTCTTAAATTATTATTAGCCTTTCTACAATGTCTTATTTTATTATTCTCTTCATATTTTTCAACCAACTCATCAATTTCTTCTCTTTCTTCGTAAGTCAACCGACCACTTTTCTTTTCAGATATTTTTTTTATTTGTAATAAATAAAGATAATATTTCTTTTCTGAAAAATCACTAAAACGATCAGATTTTATTAACTTGGTTTCAATTATCTGATATAATCCTGAGTATATATAATTATAATCTTCTTTATCCATGTCGTCAAGTAAATCTTTAAATCTGATTATATTATTATCATCCATTTTAAACAATGTTTAATATATTGTATTAAATATTGTTTAAATTTAAAACAACGAATACTTATAAATTTCTAATTTGATAAATTTTATTAATAATATAAAATTATACAAGTTAATTGAATATCAAATTAATAAAAATTAATAATTATCATAATATAAATAAGGAATCTTTTAATTTTTTTTTTATCAGGACAAAATGATCCAAATTTTAATAATTTCAGTTATTTTAGTATTTTTATATAAATTCTATAATATTTTTTCATTATATCTTTTTTACAAGAAACAAGGAATTGAAGTCTTAATATTTGATAATGTAAAAAATCATTTATGTAAAAATCATGATTTTATTGCGGTTCTATCAGGTTCATCAATTCAACTTTACGGGATGAATAAGAAATCTTGTGAAATAATAAATAGACAACATGGAATTCATATAGAAAGAAAAAGTTTTACATCGCTCATTTTATTAGGACCTAATTCTATTTCTCTAACAACATCTTCTGATCCATATTTCAAATTACGTAAAAAAATATTAATATCCTCGATTAATAATAATATCGAAAATTTATATCAAGTTTCTTATCAACAAGGTACTAGTTTAATTAAAAAATATAAATTAAAATCAAATTTAAATATACTGGAATTATTAAATGAATATGTTGAGAATGTTACTAGTGAATTCATGTGGGATCGTAGTATAACATCAAAATATTATATTGATTTTTTAGATAAAGATTATAAATTAAAAAGTTTATCAATTATACAGGCTTTAAATCAGGCATTTTATGATGTTTTTACGTATAAAAATAGCAATTTATTATATATACCAATAACAAAAGAATCACAACGAATTTTAAATAATATTACACAAATACATAAGAGTTTTAAAGAAATGACACAAGATCTGATTGATAATTTCTATGGAAAAAATTTAATTAAAGATATGGTTGATAAAAACCTTGAGTTGGGTATATCATTAGAAAAATTATATGATGATCTTATTATAACAACATCGTCAGGATTAAATATAGTTAAATTAACGATTATGTCAATTATTTGGCATTTATATGTAGAGAAAAACAGAAGATGGCATAATATGCTTTATGATAAAGTTAAAATTTTAAATGAAGATGGTTTTAATTATACAGAGTTAGCAAGTCTTCCGAATTTTAACGCGTTTATATCAGAGGTGATACGATATGAGTCATCGTTTTCATTTTTAAATAATTATGTAATTAAAGATTTTGAAATGGTTATTGGAAAAAAAGTTTACAAATTAAAAAAAGGAACTTATATAATGTCAAATACTTATGCAATTCATCATGAAAAAGATTCTTTGTTAAAATTCGATCCTTCTAGATTTTTAAATAAGAATGATGATTTATGTTTTGTGCCTTTTGGCATCGGTGGGCGTAGTTGTCCAGGAAAATCAATTGGTTTATCTATGGTGAAAATTTTTGTGGCTAATTT